CTGAAAAGTCAGCAGGAGCTAAGGAAATGCGAGTAATCCAGCATCTGTGAATGAATCTTGCGTGTCTACTGCCACTCTCAGCTCACATGTCTATTGAACTGGAGATTTTTCCTTGAAGAACTGACAGCAGTAGCAAGCCCTGTTGTTCATTTCACTTGGAAGCATCTCAGCACGCATACTTTAAACAACCTTTTTTTAAGTGCCAGTTCTACATCAGGGGCAACTTTTCTTTTTTCCCATAACAACAGCCATGTTGGGTTGTGCTTGAAGGGTGTAGTGTTGTCATCTGTACAAAAGGAGTGGATGGATGTTTCTGGCCAGAACTTATGCTGCTAGCTGATATTATGCTTTAGAAAGGCTAAGCAGTAAATTAGATGTAGATAATACAATTATCTCATTAATAGGTATATTTCTAACCTAAAGTCAAGTTACCACAATGGTAAGCAAAAATGTTCGTACTTCTGTGCTGGTTTATTTTTCCCTTAGCAGTTAAAATGAGGTTTCCACCTCCTGTGCTGTCAATTTGGTGACTCCCAGATTCCTTTTCATCTCATCATCTGGCTGTTATGGAGGCACTAGTCACAACAAATAAATGAGAAAAAGTCATTTGAGGGGAGTTGCATGGTTCTGCTTTCACTCTGCTTTGAAATATGTGTCAGTATGAAGGCACAGACTTGGCACAATTTGCAAAGTTACTCATTAATCAAAGATAAGGTACCATTTTATTTATACTTCTCTTGGAATTTAGTATCCATTGTTACTGTACAAGAATAATTTAAGGCCCTTAGAACTGATAATAATTGGAAAGAAATAGGACTTTATATATTTATATTCTCTGGGACCATGTAAATCAATGCAAATGGTTGCAGTGAATCCTGGGGGCTTTGGATCACCTTCTTCACACTTCTATGCACAGCTGCTTCCCTCTAGATTGTGCACAAGTTGCTCCTGCTGCTGCTTGTACATGTTATTCACAGGACAAGAAGTGAGGGAGAAAGCTATATTTATAAAGTGATTGTACAGCTGCATAAATGAACCTGAAAGCAAAACTAATGCCTGAGTAACTTGCATTTTGCTCCATGTTTTCATTAAATGTCTTGATTACAAGCTGACAACTGCCTTTTGATCTCCTGTCAAACCTTCCTCCCCACCCCATTGCTCCTGACATAACATGAGAACTTCATATGTCCAAAACACCTAGTGGAAAGATCCAGTTCCTGTGATGTAAAAAGTTTTGTACAGGACTTCATTCTGACCTGTAAAAAGGTTGACAAACATAGATAGGTTCCTGGGTTGAGACCAAGCCTGTCTATATTCTATCTCCATGACTTCCTTCTAGACGTCCTAAAAGTACAAGATTTTATAATGAATGTTGTGATAAATGACTGAGTCCCCAAACAGGATTGCAGTCAAAAATTGCAATTTATTATGCAAATTTAAGCAAACAAACAGTGCTGGGTGCGCGGGGAGTCTCTGCTCTACCCACACACACTGAACAGTTCTGGTTTCGGTTTATAAACTCGTTGTTAATACATATTCATGACTGTCCCGAGAAGAGGGAGGTCTTTGTTGGGACATACTCACTTTGCCTCCTTGAGTCTTCTTGAACTTTTTATCTCTTCTCCCAGTGCAGCTCATGAGTAAACACCTACAAGCATCAGCCTAAATTTAACCCCTTCTCCTCTGGCACACTCAGCCAGAAATCAATTCCTGTCCAGATCAAACCCCAAAGAAGTTCCTCCAGGAACAACACAGCTTGACAAAACATGGTAAATGCTAAGCAAACAAAATGTCTTTAACAAACAATCTATATTATTCAGCCTAAATCATTAGTTCAAAACAAGTATCTTTGCCCACTGCCGAGCACACCTCCCCCAGTGCCGCCGGACGCGGCTCTTGCTCTCTCTCCCAGTGCCTCCCGCAAATCTCTCAGCCCTCTCAGCTTTTAATGCTTGACTACGTGTCATAGCAGCTTCCAATTAGATTCTAACATTGCTCCGTATTGACACAAATCAGGGGAACACATTTCACAAATGTCATTAACACAGAATTATCCAATATCACATTGCATAGGTCTGAAATTAGACTCTGTAGCTTAATACTTTTCAAAACTGTACTTTATTGATAAATACTGAGGTTGAAATCTTGGCCCAGCTAAATCATAGTCCTACCATTGGAATGGGCTGAGGGGACAGACGGTTCATCATTAAGGTAGTACACAGGCTAACACACAATTGACAATTTGAAATTATGTTTTTCTTAATATTCTAATGGTGCAGCATATATAAGGATAGGAGGTGCTTGGGGTTTTTTACATCTCTGCTTTTTAGATTAGTTAGAAAAACATTTCTGTGGGAGAACCATCAAAGACTCAATCTTTTTCTATCTTTATTAATATTCTGAAAAATCAGACAGTAATAAATTAGCAAAGCTAACAAAAATTCAAATGTTATCAATGATGAAAAAATTCAAAGAGGCCTTCAATGAGCAGAGTGTTGGCAGGTGAAATTCAGGTATAAGTAATGCAGAGTGATGCACTCTAGAAAAAATCTCTGGAATTCTTCATGTACATTCTGGCTCAGGGAGAACTGCCATCACTGTGGAAAGCTATATGAAATTTCTGTTCTTTATATAGTGACAGAGAAGAAACAAAGAGCTTGCTCTTCATGCAAGTATTTGGGGCAAACTGAAGGGAAAGA